TTTCTTTCTTTCTTTCTTTCTTTCTATGTTTATTTATTTTGAGAGAAAGAGAGTGTGAGTGGGAGGGCAGAAAGGGGGGAGAGGATCAAAGCGAGGCTCCACACTGACAGCCTCGAACTCACAGAGCTGTGAGATCATGATGAGCTGAGAGTCAGACACTCCAAACGCCTGAGCCACCCCAGGCAGCCCTCCCTCTTAAGTGGCCACATTTCAGCTGCATGTCCTGAATAGAGGCGGTGGGAAGGATCTGGAGTGAAGGCACGAGGCCCGTGGGTCTGGGAGAGGCACTCAGACCAGGATCACGTGCTTCATCTGGCCTCACACTTTTGACACCACCTGGTCATATTGCCTCTGCTTGGCATGTTCACCCTGTCTCTATCAACACCTTCCCAAGGCCCCTTCTCTTGGTGCACTCCTTCGAGTTTGTTTCCTGGTTTCTCTTGGACTCTCTACCCCTCTATCCTCTGGCTGATAGCACTTTGTTTTAGCTGCTCGTGGCGATAGCTACCTTCAGCTACATATCCATAGTACTTAGGTACACATTTGTTCACCAAAAGCTCCCAGAGATCAGCATGATCCTGCTGACTTTGTGTGTGCCTTATGGTGCCTATCAATTGGTTATGGTGGAGTCGGCTCTCTACCATGAACTAATATTACAGCCTCCATGTATTCCTCCTCTCTGACCTCAGACTTTGTAATTTCTGTAACAAATGTTAGACTAGACTACCTCTGTGGTGCTTTGCAGCTGTGTGAGATTCTGTGGCTCTGGTATGAAAGGAAAAGAACTGGCTGGGATCCGAGCTGTTTTGTAGCTTCACATCTCTCATGTGGCCTCTGTCCCCAGGCTCCCAGGTTGAGCAAGCCTGAGGGACAGACAAATCTTGAGGGCCACATAGCTGATGAGAAAGGCCATCTGGGGACCCGAGGGGCCTGAGGTGAGGAACAGGTTCAACTGTAGCCAAGCCCCCAGGTTGAATTGTGCCTGCCTCAGTCTCTTCACAGAGCCACCGGGCCCCCTCCCTGGGAACCTAAGCCTGAGGGAATGCCCTTCCTGCCACAGGGACCCCCTGCCCCGCCCGGACTCGCGAGAGGCTGCAGAGCAGAGGCACGCTGTGTGACCTGTGCTGTGTGCTCGCGTCTTCATGGCCGAGGAGGTGTTAGAGTGGGATTGGAGAGCAGCTCCTCCGACCCCATCCTCTCGGGCTTTCCTGCAAGCCCATCCACCCAGAGAGAGCATCCCAACAATATTCCTGGGTAGACAAGCAGAGGAAGGGATGGGGTGGGGATTAGGTGCCGGGGCTCAGGAGGTGGTGAGGGATGGCACCGAGAGTGGCTGGGGCGAGGTCTGGGGGCAGAGGGCCAGCCTCTCGGCATTAGCTAGTCTTTTTTAAAGTCTGGCCTGTTTCTTTTTTTTTTTTTTTCAACGTTTTATTTATTTTTGGGACAGGAGGAGACAGAGCATGAGCAGGGGAGGGGCAGAGGGGAGGCCTGGGAGATGGGTAAGGCTCCCAGCACAGGCCGCCAGCCCAGAGCCCTGGCGATGGGGCACCGAACTCGCGGACCCAGCGAGATGCGTGACCTGGCTGAAGTGGACAGCAACCATTCCATGCCAGGCGCCCCCCAAAGTCCTATTTTCTTGATATCAAAATGTGTCATTATAAAAGAAAGAAAGAAAGAAAGAAAGAAAGAAAGAAAGAAACAGAGAGGAGGTGGAATGTTGGGACCCAAAAAGTCTGAGGATCCAGGCACAGAGAACTAGTGGCCGGATTCCACACTGAGGTTGTCATGGGGAGGACGAAGGACAGACTTGGGGATGGGGAGGCAGTGGTAGGAGCAGTGGATCTGGAGTCTGCTACATGTTAGCTGGACCTCAGTCTGACCATAAATGCCCAGTGGAGGCCGCCTTAACTGTACTGTGCCATAAGCCTCCCTTGATAAGTGAATGGGGCTGGGTCCTCACCTGGGATGCCAGAGCTTGAGCTCAGGCTGAGTTTTAGGCTCATTCTGGCCCAATTCTCAACCCTAGTACTACCCAACCTGAACCCCAACAAGGCCAGAACCTTCCACAGAACAAAGAACCTAACTGGAAAACACAGTCCTAGAAATACTCATGGAGGTGTGACAAAAATACCCATGAGTGAAAATGAAGGCTCCAGATAGAAATGTGATCACAGCAGTAAAGTGAGGAGGGATGCCTGGGGCCTTCTGGCTAGGGAGAGCTCTGCCAAGTGGGTGAACTGAGGTGTGAGGGAGGTGGGGGGGACATTTGGTGCTTGTAGGGAAAACTCAAGTGCTGGCAGGTAGATTCGTTTCTCGGAATTTTCTTCCAAGACTTAGAATCTTGGTGTGTATGATTCTGGGTGTGTTTCCAGAGGAGACAAGGAGGTGAGGGTGGCTTTGAAATCCATCCTCATTCTTCAATGAGGAAGACTTATAGTTGGGTGCCCAGGACTCAGGTGGCCAGGCAGTGCACACATAGCGAAGCCCAGTCTAGTGGGGGAGATAGATGCGTCACAAATGACTTACTAGGCAAGGAGGGGTTTGGGCCAGGGGGATTTATGAACAAAGGACTTCGGAGCACCAGGCAGGGAATGATGGACTGTAATGGGGGTGAGGAGAATGTCACAGAGGGAGAGATGTCTAACACGAGACCTAGGTGAAGAAGGGGCTCCGGACACATGGAATGCCAATGACAAGATAAGTGGCTGGGAGTTTTAAGCGTCAGGAGCCAGGGCAAGGGCTGAGGAGGAAAGTGAGGGCTCAAAGGAACATCAAGGGAGATATACTGATTGATTTCATATATCCTTCCCTAGCCCTGAGATGACCTTGCTGGTGTATATTAGCCTGGGAGGGAGAGAGGAGAGGAGATGGAAGGATCCAGAATAGATCAAGCCACAGAGCCCCTCCAGAGAACTTTAGGGGAGGGGCAGGTAGGTAGGAAGAGCCTCTTTCAGAAAATACTGCAGGATTTGGTGACTAATGGTCATATGAGAATGAAAATGAGCTGGGAGTCCAAGATGCGGGTCTGGATAGCAAGCAGAGGCTGCGTGGCTTTGGGGCAGTGGGCAAGATGCCTTTTTTGTAAGGCACAGAGTAGCTAGTCATCAAGGTAGCCACCCATCAACAGGCTGCTCCCTTTTGTTATGCATGAATTGGGGACTAAAGAAGCCTCATTGTTGGGGTGCCTGGCTGGCTCTCTCGTTAGAGCATGCGACTCTTAATCTCAGGGTCATGAGTTCAAGCCCCACATTAGGCGTGGAGCCTACTTAAAAAAAATACATTAAAAAAAAAAAAGAAGCTTCATTGTTGGTGTGGGTGTTGGGGGGGGG